TTCTCCCGTCACGGTATATAAAATATCACGTGATCGCATCAAAGCATTTTATGTCGTATTTTTTTTTTACAATATATGTTTATTGAGATACTCGGGAAAACAGTGTACGTTGATTTATTGCAGACTATTTTCTCGATAACTGTAGGTCTACGTGATTCCAAGCATGTGTTTTAATTAATTTGATGTTTGGCTTTGTTACGAAGGTTTTCCATTGTCGAGTCAATAAAACGCCCTGTCTGTCACTATATACGCACATTGCACGCAGAATTTCGATCCTCCGAATTCCAATCGATGATAACATATCAGCAATGTCCACGATGTTCACGAATTCAATACATTATTTTCAATAAAGTCCCCATATTTCATTATCTTTTTTATTTGTTTATAATGTAAACTGTGGTTAATTGACTATTCAAAATAATTACCTCCACCTTTGATCTTTCGATTAAATGACGACAGACTTCAAAGAAGTGGACAAGATGCAAACGTATTAGCATAAATGTTGCACGGCCCTGTCGCCATGGGAATACGGTACTAGCTAAAGAGAATTAACTCTAGATATAGTGACTTTGATCTTTACACGAACAAACATTAACGGAAATTACATGCATAACAAATTAAATATAAACTTGGATAATTTAACTAAAACGAAAACTCCACTCTATTATTCCATGAATAACATTTACATAATAGGATGTTGTTCCATTTAGAACCCATTACGGAACAAGGTAATCGAATCTATGCCAAGGGACAAATGAGCCATCACCGAGGCGATTCTGTTTAAAAAATGCACCCAGTTCTAAACGAGATATTTATTTGTCAACGGTGCGTAAGCGCTACTGTAAAATTTGATTTTGATTTGATTTGAGCTGTGTAATTTTGTAATTTTCGCTAAAAAAGACATTTTTGCTGCTTTGTAAGAAGTTTATATATATTTTATTTATAAAAAAAAAATCAGTAGATTTTAATATTAGTGACTCATTCGTTCAGCTAAAATATTAACAATGATATATTCCAAGTGAAAATAAAATAGACTACAGTATTCAAAGAAGGAGACGAGCCGAGACAATGTTTTATTCTTCATGGGGTTGTAAATTGTTTTGAAAGTTTTGTTTTCTCTAAACTAAACTAAAGGTTGAGAATGGACATTTTCTTGGTCGATAAAACGATAGTGAATTGCACACGTGTGATTATGTCATCCAGCTAATCTTGTAATACCACCACTACTACTACTTATTTGTTAAAAGTGGCTAATTAACCATTTGATAAATGTGCTTATTCCAAAGGTTGCGATGTAATTCGCTGTAACTACGTCATCATCCAATCCTTGATCCCATTATTGTTTCTAACACATAGCTTCGAAGGATTTCGTCTCTAGTAACAATTATATAAGCATCAAGTCAGTTTGAGGGTTATTTTAATCTCCGAGTGCCGGAAATTAGGCCTAGAGCTGTCTAAGACAAGGGAAAATTGCTTCCTCTAGTCTGTCTGTATGTATTTTGCAAAGGAGCACGGTGATTGGACAATGTTTTGATTTGAGCAAGTTGTAGAGAGATTAGTCGACCTAAACCTTACAAATAATGCGTGAGCGCGCGACAGTGAAATGATGGAAGCAATCATGCGTTGCCTGTTATAAAACAGAACATTGCATACAATAATTGAACTAATGCACGCTTGGAAGAGAGAATCGTTTTTTAAACATGATGCGAGATTTCCTTCTCCCATGTGTGAATACAGGGTCCAATTGATGGTGCTCCATAGGGAAATCACCCATCGATCTACTTATGCCAAGTGTGCCACCGCTTAGTAAGCAGCGACGCTAATGTACCATAGAGGCTACAATAGTATGATAATTGGGCCGGGTAAACAACCGTGATCTCTGTTAAATCTAAGACATCAAATAATTTAATCAGAGAAATATTTTATTCCTATTTTCGTCGCCTTAAGCACACTTACATTTGAACAACTATAGCGACATTGTCAGTATAATTCTTACTTTGCGATCGTGTAAAACGATGTTCAATAATGAGAGGATACTATACTACTCGTATTTTTATTATTAGTTTAATATACTATGGGATTATTACAAGGACACAGCAACATATGCACAAAACGAGTTAAGCGGATCGATGCGATGGAATAAGTTGCGCCCTCTAGCTTCCGTGACGTAAACGGATGAAAGGAAGGCCGCTCATGTCTTCTAAATTGTTTTGATCTGTAGTTCTTCCGGTAAAAATAATGTTAATCAGAGATTTCACCATATATATAAGTGACGATCGACCACACAACCAAACACAGTTGTCAATTGCAACGACATTGCGTTACCCGTTTACGTCATCTTGACGTCACACGGGCGCTTTGTCGTTAGAGGGCGCGGTAAATCTTAGAAAAAGATGGTTAATAACAACTAACAAATATTACAAATCAACGCCTACAACGTATCGCTCTGCGTCCGACACAGTTTTGACTCGAAAGTTCTTGATATTATTATTATGACATTGACCTTCGAGCTGACCACAATAACTTACCGATATCAAACGATTCTCTTGGTAACTTTGTAGCTCGGCCGTCGCGACTGTGTATTCATCAAACCACAGTGTCGGTAGTCACTCGTTCTTGAAATCATGGCACTGGTAATTACGTCAACACCGTGCCATAATTACCGATATCAGTGATATTAGCTATGTGGTTTTATTTAGTACAATTCCCTTTAACCTCCTATGTCTTATGATTTCTATAAATGTCACGCTGCCACTCCGTGCCGGGACTACCAGTCTATAACGGTCTGTCTTTAATGCAATCGCATTAATTGTTGCCCTGGGAAACAAACTCGTGTCAGCCCGTTAAAACGCTGCTACGTTGAATATTAATGCATCGTGCCATATTTCAAACTACAGTATTATGACTTTTATCTTTCGTATCATAAAATGAAAACATACTGTTTTTCTGACTGATAATATCGCAAAGCCGTTCATTCACGTTATATCCTTCTCTGTCTGGAGTAATTACCGTGTATAGCATTCTGCGTAACATCATGTGGTTAGATTTGACACTGTAAGCTTTGCTACTACGCTAGCGCTACCGTTCTAGTAATTCGTTTAAAAGGCTTATATGCACGTTTCATATTTTTTTCAAAAGTCAAATATTCTGTTGAAAATTAAAATCAAAATGTTTGCCCAATAGTAAAGCCCATAAATGTGTGCACGTATACACCGATAACTAGGTTCTCAGAGTGAAACATATTTTGATATATCTGAAATATATCAGAATCGAAATCCTTCTGGTGTATCTATTTATAATACCGCCATTTTTTTCTTCTAGATTAGATTACAATTTTTGATTGATTAGTGAAATAAAAGAGGATGGAAACATGGGGGGAAAACTGCTTTTATTGGAAGTGGTTTCCTTTTCTTTACAATTATATTTCAAAATCCAGGGTTTTAGCGTTTTTCGCAACGTTACAAGTGATCTAAGCTTACAACTACAAGTCCAAGAGCGAACATTTCATCCTCGGTTTTCTAATCTTGTCACGTTTTTTAATATTCATAAGTTGATTATGACGTGTTACGGTATTCACCTGCGACATATTTAACGTATAAATGTTATGCAAACAATGAAAACAACACTCGAAACACGTCGCAACACAATCTGTTGAACGCGATTGGCCATTAAAAACTCCAGGTGGTTGACGTGTTCTGCATCGTTCACATATTTGGCATCCACTCGGGGCTGTGCTCGTGTCGGTTAACGTTAATTACCGGTTATACGGTTAATTACTCCAAGCGGGTTTTGTGTCAGTTTCAATAACTGACGCAAGCAATGACACTAAATAATTTAATATGGTTATTATATTATAGTAATTTCTCAGGTGATGGAGATGTATTCATTACCCGTGTGACGGGACCGAATCAGCTGATAAATCAAAACGTCATCATGACATATCCAAATTGAAATCACCACTAAGACATAATTAATAATGCTTTCTTTTATATTCAACTGATTAAAAACAAAATATGACGTTTATAATTATACTTATGTGTTGTTATAACCACGTGCAATAAACGCATGGCGTAGAAAATTAACAATACAACGTATATTACTACACTATGTTGTGTATAACAAAATAGAAAAACAAGGTCTTCCAAAGTCATCCTCAAAATATTGATCTTGTAGCAATATTACGTTCAAATATTGTTTTTCCCAAAATCATATAAAAAGACATACATGTATTTATTGAAATGTTTAAACAGTTATATTTGTTTTTCAAACTCATAAAGTTATTATAACGTAATTTAATAATGGTGACCACAATGTCCTCCCTTATGTGTAAATACATAATTCTGTATCAGTATAAATCAGTATAGTCATAAAATCAGGTACATTATTTGCTGAAATTCAAAATGGATATCAAGGAGAAATTTCATATGATGCTTATCTCATAGTAAATATCACAACTGGGTTAAAGTACGAAGCAGAAAAAATGACGCAAAAAAATAAACTTCTGAAACTACATTTTTTATATCTAAATACTCATCTAAATTTTGACACAGGTGGTACATTTTTAGTGACAATCACACCGGCTATTATAGCAACATTTATGGTTCCCAGAATTGAAAAGCAATATTCTGGTGTATATATATACTTCAGGTCATTCGCTACATTGACAGTCGTAGGTTTTCTCTAACAAACATATGAATTCCTATTCAATACTACTTTCTAATTAGATTAGTACACGGTGAATGCCGCGTATTTTACGAAATGCCAGACACACATATCTACCAGCTATGCAGTCTGCTGTTTTTCATCATGTGAACGTGAAAGCTTTCCGCTAGAGTTAAGTTTCACTTCTATTTTTTTTAAAAAACAAACTTTGTAAATGATGAAACAATACGAATCTGCGATAGCGATAGTATTTTATCTATTTATTATTTAAATTATCTTTCGTTCATATAATGACCATCTTACTTTGTACAAAAGAAATTTATTGTAAAGTTCTCATAATGGAAAGCAATCCACCGAGCATATCAGTACATGCCATCGCAGGAAAACGTAAAGGCATGCCTAGCAACCGGCTTAGCAACCGGCTCTGTGTGCCACAGATGTAATAAAAAAGCATTGTTTAGAATAAAGCCATAGCAGAAAGATCACTGATATTTTAAAAGTCGCATCGCAATATTGCATCTCTTTGAGACGTCTCGTCGTTATATTGTTATACAGATATTGCCATGGTTACGCGATGTTATGAGAAAATATTTTATGTTTTGTGATATTGTCAAATTCAATGGATGATTGCATCTTTTCAAAAAAACTAGAATTCTCCAATGTACACACCATAGTCGCTCACCAAACCAATATGAAATCGTGTCACTCTGTGGTATTGCGTAATTCAAATTTAAAGAAGTATTGCTTTTAATTCAATAAATGCACAACGCAATCTTTAATATGTTATATGCTATATATATCTTC